TATGTGTGTGTGAATATGATTATAACATCATAAGGCACTGGAGCACCACCACTTTACATATTTTGGATCTTAACTTTTGACTCTTCAAACTTGGATTTTACATTTTGTATAGTGATGGGGTGTTTCCAGTTACTAGTTTAAAAAGCTTGAACTCACTTCATCTGTCAGAGCTGAAAGACACATCTTTGGATTCTGATTTGGGGGCCTGGCCACAGCCCTCTTTTTCTCAGAAAGGGATTGTGAGCAATTCACTATGAAGATCAAATGGATATGGGCCTATGATGATGGGATGCTAGGGTTTTCTGACACTCCAATCCCAAACGCTTTAGAACTTCATGTTTCTACTTATTAAAACTTATTTATGATAACAAAAAATGACTGTGGATTTTGCTCAGATCCACAACTCACCCATTAGCTGTCTAATCATAAAGTAAGTTATTAGACAGTTTTTTAAAGTACATTTTTTGATTATATGGAAATGACGCCCCCTTACAAGACTATTAAAAGAATCACGGGCGAGCCCAGCACATCTACATACTACATACATCTACATACTGTGTGAAAGTTAATCTTGATTGACAATTTGATTAGAATAAGAGACAGCTAGAGGATTAGTAAAGTACACTTCTGGGTGTGTATGTCTAGGACAATTGTATCACACTATTCAACAAATATTTGTAAAATTGAACAAAGATGATAAAAACAAATCCCAACTGCGAGAAAATTATAATCTCTTAACATATTCACGATGGGGAGGTAATTCACAAATCTTGTTGCCTGGCAGCTTGAACCACCAGTGGTACATGCATGATTGTCCCATCAGGTGCCTTTATATTAATTTTAATAGTAAAAAGACTGATAAAATTGATTAGATCTGTTTGTACCATCAATGGTACAAACCACCCAATGGGACAGTCATACTTGTGCTATTGGTGACTCAAGCCAGCACCAGATGAAAAGGAGATGAAAAATAAAATAATTTGAGTGCCAAATAAAAAGTAATACAGTGATTATATGGGTAACATGTTTCAAGAATTCAATAAAGGAACAACTACCTGCCAAGCATTTGATCTGGGTCTAAAAGCATGCAAATAATTTGGCCAGGTAGGGATTGAGGGAAAAAAAACCCAGATGAATGACTTAAAAGTAGGAAAATCATCTTTGTCCAAAAGTATAACTGAAGAAAGCATAGAGAATCAAAGGAAAAGTAGTTTCATTTGGCTAGCAGGAAATCTATGTAAAAGAATTCAGAAAACTGAAAAGGCAAACAAAAACTAGGGCTAGATTATAGATAGACTTGAAACTCAAATCAAGGTTTTTGAAATAAAAGAAGGGTATGACATTTTCTGCACTATGCCAAAGAAAGATAATCTAAAGAACCACATAAGATAAATTAGAAGATGAAGAAAGGATATGTAGAAAGACCATTAAACAGCTACTTCATTAGTTCAGGTAAGAGATACTCAACATCTAAACCACAGTAACAGCAATGGAAATGGAGAGTAAGAGTTTGATAAGGGATTTGACTATTAAAGAGCAAAAGAATTAGTTGCTAGAAGCAAAGTAGAGGAACGGTTACACGTCAAACATACATGACTAGCAAAATAAAGGTACTGTACACATAAATGAGGAAAAACATCAACTAACGCAACTAGGAAAAAAAGTGTAGCAAGAATGTCTTCAAAATTAGAGTGAAATTCTAATTGGCTTTTATTTGCACGCGTATATGCAGGAAAAACAAACATACACTGGTATATGCACAGACATGTTTTTTGCAGAAAAAAATTAATATACAGACATACAGATGTCATAACTGGTATCTTGGCAGTTTTGAAACTTGTCTCTAAAGAAAGACTTTTTATATGTAATAAAATGTAACAAATACTAAAAAATTACATCGGCTTCAAAGGAAGGATATGTTTAGCAATATAATTTCTCTTAAAAATCTTATTTCATTCAATTCAACTCTGACACAAAGAACTAAATTTACTACTAAGTATGGGAAGAATTCCTTAAACTAAGAACTCAATAAAAGTAACAGTGTTTTAAAAGTTCAAGTCATTCTTCTTAGTTTATACTTACTCTCTGTAACTCCCATTTCTCAATGAGGTGTTCCACTTCACCACCAAGAACTGTGGTGTTAGAGTCATTCAAGAGCAGGAATCCATTTTTTATATCAACAATGCCTGACAGCTTGACTTTAGTTCCAGGTGGTGTGTTCAGGCTAAAGCAAAGGAAAAAAGAGTTTAAAAAACAAATTACAACTTCTCCACAGTAGAATTCAGCCTCATATTACTAAGGGTTAATCAAGTTCTTCAAAAAGTATTACCAAAATGATCTGTCAGGAGACTAATACGTATAAATAGATTGCCAGGGAGGAAGTTAAAAGGCCAAGTGAAAGACTTCTGTTTTCTAGCTCAATAACAAAGAAATGACCTTTGGTTTCCACATGGTAAAAAAAGAAAAAAAATGTTTAGGCTAGTCTGAATATGTCCCCTCCTCCGGCTATTCAATCTAGAATCCTTTCCTATTTTTCTTACCCTTCTTTGTTAATGAACAATAAAACGAAAGTCTCTTAGCATTTTCTCTTACTTTCTAAGTGAAGTTTTTTCCTATAAATTGGTGCTTTAATTTTAATTTCCAGTATTACTAAAAGCAAGATGCCACGCTTGTTAGCAACAAATTTTGGGATGCAACATGGAGCTGTTCCAGCCTGTTACAGGATTCACCCAGACCCCATAATTAACTGAGAAGTCACAATATTGGACACCATGGATGAGTGAATCTGCATCAGGAACATTAGTCATATAGTTGGTCTTCCAATCCTTCTCTCTTCCCCTTGACTTCACTGTTGTTTTAGCTCCCAGGACACCAAGGAATGGTTTGATTGGGATTTCTACTGATCGGGATTGCAGGGTCCATTATGCTGCCCTGGTTAGTTGCTGATTCATCTGTTGTTGGTTTTTTGGTTTGGAGAGGCGATGGTTCTTTTCTTAAAATTCCCTGGCTTAGAGACAGATTGGGTAGGGGGTCCAAATTCCTCAGATTTTCTCATGTTTCTCTCTAGCCACAGTTTGTTCTATGCTACCTCTACACTCCCACTTCTTGGGCAGGGCACCCGTTCCTCCCCTTTTAGTGATTTGTATCTTTTGTCCATGGGAAAAAGTCTTGAGGCTTATGTAAAAATCTCTTCTTTTTTACCTGGGGTCTATGGAAATCAAGTCCCAATCTTTTGCTTATATTAGAAATCTGGTTTCTCCAGCCATGTGATCTGGCTGATTTGAGCTGGCAGGCTCTGTTTATGTGTGCCTGAGCCATCAGGAATTTATATATCTGACACCTTCTTCACTCCATCCCAAACCCTAACCTTTGTCTTTGTCAACCCCAGAGCTTCTGTAAACTCCTCAAAGACAGATCTTGAACCTCTGTGGTTCCAGCTTGACCATGCTGATTAAATTTCCTTTCCTGCCCTTCATCACAGCGCATCTCCTTGATTGGCTATGAGATAGGTGGGCAAGTGTAGTCTGTAGGGACTTTTAGAGTTAACACTTTTGCCTGAAAACACTGGCAACAGATTTGGCAGGCCCCAACTGGGGAAGAGCATGCCCTTGAGCATTAGCCATTTAGTGAGCCAACCCTGGGTGAAGAAGAAAGATTGAAAGGTCCCCTGAAGCTGCCAAAATTACTTTCAGAGACATTTTCTTATTTTCAACTTTAGCCAACTGATGTTGGCTAAAGTTAGTAAAGACATGAGTCTGGAATTTAAAAGACCCTCAGATTTAGATCTTTGGTATATCCCTTTCCAACAATGGTGCTTGTTCTCTCTTATTTCTTTGTCATTTGAGCTCTTGAGACACTGGGCTAATGCCACTTGGATTTGACAAAGAAACTGGCCCTGTCTTTTGAGTTTTTTGGGGGGGGTTCCAGACTTAGGCCATTCAGTTTTGACAAGAGTACTATGTCTCAGTTTGGCACAGGTGCTTTGTCAAAAAACCAAAAGACTTACACTGTGAAAACACGGTGTGTGAAATATCTTAGTAAAATTTGTGCCCCCTAGGGAAAATACTAGGTGACTGGTTTAAGTCATAGCTATAAAGCATCGATAAAAAGATGATTATTATTGTAATAACACATGGCCAATGCATCCAAAAATGCTCTCTAATTTAATGTAATTATTTTATATGTTCTATATGTTTTCTTGTCTGTTTGCCTATTAATCTGTGATGACTGTTGATTTAATGTAATTGCCTTATGTGTTCTTTTGTCTGATTTATGCTGACTGATAAGGGCTAAAAATCTGATGGCTGCAGGAACAGTCCCATTAAAACTTATCTACAGGAAAGACTCCCCCGCCTCTGAAAAAAAGAGACAAATACTCCCTCTGGTCATTTTGCTTAGCCCTAAGTGTCAGGGTGACTAAACCCGGAACACACAGCAGTCACAGAATACATTCCATTCCTGGGTTAGATGGATCTCTTAGCAGCTCATCCAGAAAATGCAAATAAGGGAGTAGTCACCCTGCTTTTTGAGCTAACCCAAACCCCTTGGTGTTCAGGGCTTTCTAAGACACATAAAAAGGGATATCCAGCCTACTGGTAACATTCTAGGATGGACTCACTATAAACAGCACATTCTGACCCAAAGCACTTCCCTAATATGGATCCTTGCAACGGCCAACAGACAAGCCTCTAACAAACTCAGCTCTAAGAACAATTCTGGGCAAAACAATTCAAAACTCAACAAGGTAAACTCCCCTAAAATTCCAAAAGTAACTATTCCAACTGCTTCATTTTTACATTTTTTCAGCTCATCTTTCTATTCCCTTTTTTTTTTCTTTCACTTGTGTACACAGGCTTTTTAATCTGACTTAATTTCTAAGCTCAAGGCTTGCACAAAACCTGCAAATTAAAACCTTAAAATCTGGTTATCATAAGAGTTTTATCTATTATCTTGATTGATGCACACACATTTGTGTCTTCCCAAGAATGTACACATTATATAATGTATCTACATGATACAATCCCCCCAAAGGTGTTAAATTGCCTTACAGGTAATGGGTAATTATGTAATTAATTCAAATGCCTTTTGCTCACATGATTTAGGTAATCCTTTAACAAAATGAGTTAATTTAAATTTAAAATACAGTAAAGATGTCTTTAAAATATTTCTGCCTAACCAATCAGGATAGTATTTATCTTTGTTAAAATTTAAGATACAATGTTGCTTTCTATATTCCAAGTATAGCCACTTTTAGGGTTTTCATTGGCAAGAAAATAACTTAAATGTTAATTAAGTCTGTCTAATATATTGGTTTTATAGATTAAATATAAATGGCATAAATGTTCATAACTGAACATCTGAGTCACCAGTTTTAAAGTTTGTAAAAGGACAATATATTTGGGTCTATTAATTATGTCATCATACCTTGCTGGTGTATTTTTTTAAAAAGGCTTAGGATTGGTTTTTCTTGGTTCTTCAATAAACATAAGGTTATTAAGAGTTTAAATAAATTTAAAATACAGACAATAAAAATCATACCTTATACAGGTAAAGACAAGTAAAACAAAAGGTATGATAACCTTTTCTAAACTCTGACCATGCTATATAAATATAGCATGTATCTGTCTTTTTTTTCCCCATCATACCTTGGCTATGTGATGCAAACATAGACTGTAATCTGTTACAAAATTAAATTTCAATACAGAAAAAGATGTCTGGCCAGAAACAATTCTACAAATTTACCATCTATATGAACTATAGTAATCCATAAAAAATGGTTTTTTTTAAAACATCTAAAGATCAAACAAGTATATGAAATAACTTTAAAATGACTTTTATTACACTAACTTTAAAGTATTACCCACTAATTTTCAACTACACATCAATATTTAACTATTTACAAACTAACCTTAAAAATACTTTTCTCTAATATGCTAGTACTGGATTTAGGGTAAACATTACACCATCACTCTTTTTTTTAAAAAAACCAGAGATAAAGATACTTACATTTCTATCAACCTTTTGATAAAGGAAACAAGTGAAGAAATCCATTTCATCATATAAGTTTATTCTAAAGTAAAAGATAGATATATATATATATATATATATATCCATCCCATCTCTTCCCATATACACAAAGAGACAAAGCGCTCAAAAATAGTATAATACCCCTAAAGTATTAGGCCCTAAAACATGTTGGATGAATTACAAAATTACTCTGAAATGGCTTCATGTTATTCTTATTTTAAAAGCACCCAAAATTTACCATGTATCAATATAAGCAATATCAAATCAGTAAGTATTAATATCACTGGTCTTTTTTGAAGAAAAATGGTTAATAAAATAATTATTAACAAGAAGAAACAGAATATGCCAGTTTTTAAAGTTTCAAAGAGCTCATACAGGGTAAGACAGACTATATTCTAAAAAATTATTCTGTACATCTTATGTGCATGCAATTTTATATACCAACAACATTTCAATAAAGCCATTAAAATTACCCAAAGCATCCCAAGCTTAAATGTTCTTAGTCAGAACTCACAGCTTACCAAACAAATGATTAAAAAAAAGCGCCATGTCTAACCTAACCCTTAATTACAGAATTCTGTTACTCTAATAAATTTGGAACAATGTATCTCAGACTTCAAGAGCAGTAACAACTGAATAGTTACACCAAGAATTTTTCCTCAATTTCAAGCAATTAGCAAATTTAAATTTTCAAAACTCTATAGTCATCATTTAGCAAAAAATAAAACCATAAGCACCAAGAAACCCAGGTTGCTGTATTCTTCACCTCTAAGGACATTACAAACTGCATCATTTAACCTATGATCTATGTTTTCTTCAATACCACTTTTAGCCAATAATTTCTTACAGGTTAGTAAAATTGAAAAATGCAGTGTGAATGTATGAACATACAAAATTAGCAATACAGAAAACTGCGCAAGAGTTTTAAAAATAGGGTGCAAATCACAGGGGCACTTAAAATGTGGTAACATAACTTTAAAACCAATCTGTAATCTTTAAATTAATCTATAAGCAGATAACTAATTTCTATGTAAAATGAGTATACCATGCCCTAATTCTCCCGAATAGTCAAATTATTTGACAATGGCCCTATAATTTTATTAGGACAACTAACAGAGTCCTGTCATGTTAAATTATAGTTCTATTCCAACAAGGAAAGAAGGAGGTAAAATTTTAATAGGGTTTTACTAAATTGCTTTCAGGACCATAATTAACTCTTAGACAGCATATTGTGGTTTAATTGCTATATTTATTGGCATCCCAAGGCAACTTTATTTTTTCTCATTGAAATTAAAAATAAAAACAAAAACCAATGATAGTGGGGCAGCAGGTAGGAGAAAAAACACAAAGAAGTGTTCCAGAGAAATACAATGCCTGTTTGAAGCAACACATTCCATACCAACATCTGATTTATCCCATGTAGGGGGTTCACCACTAAACAAATTCATCTTCAAAAGTTTTTTAAATTGTTCACATGTACAAACAATTCTGTAAGCTACCATTTTTATGGCACCAAAAAAAAGATATGCTGCTTCAGTGATGAGTGAGTGAATGAGCATATGAAAATTTGTTTTCAATTGTCAAACCACAATAAATTCAGCAAAAGACGACAGTAGACACTACTGGGCAGAACTTCCATTGCAGACTAAAATTTGTGTTTTCATTTACCTCAGAGAAATATATAGCTAATATATCAGAAAATAAGCTACTATGTGGCAAGTCTTAGTTCCAAACCATCTGTGAACTCCCTTGTAGGGGGCCTGACTGAATTTGTCAAAGGAAGAAAGGCTATTTTTACACAAAGGTATCAATCCTTCAACTCTTCAAAAGAAGACAACATAATACACTGTCACTAAGACCTTATCTATACATAGTAATAAACATTTAGACAAACTCCTTCCAAGGAGGAAGCCTCCCTTATCAGAGAAAGACACTGGTTGAAAGAAAACAAAAGGGAAACTGAGGATGGAATGTAAAGCCTCAACCTACCACTTTTCTTCCCATATACCACTGTTCCAAATTACTTGTGCTTCACTAAATGGAACTTTTCACTCCCTTATGGGCAGGACACTATGTCTCTGTACATTTTATTCCCCTTCTCAACTCTCTCAAAACACCTGCTCATATTTTACATCCAACTCCTGACTCTCCCAGGTAAAACTAATTTTCTGTGCTCCAGAAAAATAACTGTACACCTATGCATCTACCTTGCTAGCTTAAGAGTTACTAGGAAACAAAATCTAACTTTATCTACCTTTGAATCTCCAGTACTGCATAAGGGAGTTGGATTATAGTGAATGCTAAATATTTGATAAATGCTTACTCAAGAGAAAAACAGGGTCCAAGAAGGAGTTTACATAAAGTGAAAAAACTCAAAGGACCCAGAGTAACAAACATGACAAGAAGAAATGACTCAGAAGAGAAAAAATGTGGAGGATAGGGTTTGCAAATGTCCAATTAGGAGTTTTCACCTCACAAAACAGAGCTCAGATTGGCCTAAAGGGGATACTGAGGATAAAAGAGACAGTTTCCCTTTCTCCTCTTTCCTTTGTTCCCTTCTAACAGGCATGACTCTAAATGCTTTTCATAAAAATAGCCAAAAGTAGGGTGAAGATGTAACTTACTTGTGAGCACTTGCCTAGCATGCACAAGGGCCTGGGTTCAAGCCCCAGTACTAAAAAAGAAATAGAGCAACACAACAAAAAAATAGCTACAAGGACTTGGAAAGTTGTTCCTCAGGCAGTTCTTCCTCATCTTATGAAGTGAGGAAAACACAAACCTCCTTGGCTTCAATCATTTCCTAAGAAAACTGGTTAGACTACAAGACACTGCTAGAACACAAAATAAATCATGTCACAGACATACTTATACACACAAGATTAGCTACAGTGCTCTCTGAAAGAAGCCATAATGTATTTAAAGAAATTGTGAACAATGAATAAACTAAATTTTCTTTTTAAAAAAGCCAAAAGATTTAATTTTCATACAAGATATTAAATTGGTTTGGTAATTAACATAACTAATTTCATTCTTATCTATTTTCTATATAGGTGAAGCTGAAATGCAAAGATCTGTAATTTCTTTTGAAAAATTGTAACATTCATTTGAGCTCATTCCTTCTTTCCAAAGCTCTTAAAATAAAATCTATTTTGAATAGCACCTTCAAATAATCTTGTAAAAATATGTAAAATTATGTCCCAATCACCTTATTTTTGACATATAACTAAATTCTACTGCTGTGCAACTTATATGACCATCCGTCATCTGCAAGCGCAGCATCCTTGGTGCAGCCTGAGATTCTTCGTTATCCTTTGGTGCAGCAACATTTCGAATTTTTTGAATTTGCAAAACACATGGACCTTCAAGCTGTCAAAACACAAAAAAGTAAAAATCACTTCCTAGTTATGGCTGTGTTTTCATTTAGAGTATTTCTCTTTTTCTTAATGACTATGCATTATATTTATAAAAATAATTTCAATTAAGGTTAAAACAGAAATATTATATAATTAGAGATATATAAATACATAGATCTATCAAGTGGCTTTTGTTTATTTTGGGTATTTACAGATAAATTTCAAAGGGGTTCTCTGAAGAACAATTTAAAATAAATTCTGAATTCATTTTTAGATAGTAATAAGAAAACTCTTGGAAAACAAAGTTATATTCTGGAATGAAAGGTGTATTAATGCATGTTTTTAGTCCAATATGCTCTAAATGGTTCATATCCATCCTGCTCCCACCCTCATGTACATTAAGGGACATTATGGAGATAAAGAACTTGGCAATTTCTTAAAGGGCATCAACTTTATGCCAACTATTCCAAAAAATGATTTCTGTTCAGACAACAAATTGAAAGTGCACCCTCTTCTGGTGTAAAAGAAAAATACAATACCCCAAAATTAAACTATATAAAGTTCAAGAAATGTTACATTTGACTTATTTCCATCTTTCCTTTTTAAACTGACATTAAATCTAACGCTTATTAGATGTGTTGTCAGCAGGGAGAAGAAATGTTTTCACTGGCCAAATTTCAATCAAAGACAAAAATAAATCATTGAAATACCTAGCTCTAAAGTTAAAAGTTTTATATAATAAAATGCTTATGGCAAAGTTGGGAAATTACAGTAAAATCTGCTTACATGTCTGAGAAATAAATTTAACAAAAAAAAGTCCACATAAAAAATATACTTACATAGTATACTTCAAAGGGAAAGGCTACTTTTTAAATAAACTCTTAAAATATTTCTGTGCGTATTAAATTAATTTATATTTTCAGCAAAGAGAATATAAAAAGCTTGGCAAACATTAACAATTTCCTGAGCAAGCATATCCTCAAACTGAAAAATCTCTATATTTACCAGTATTTCATCTGCAAAAATAATTCTGTTATAAATTTAGACCTAGAGAGAATATATTTTTTAAAAAAGAACCTAAAATTTTATCTTCCAATTAAGAAAAAAATTCCAAGCTAAAATGAGTCCAAAACCTTTAACAGGAACAGATAAACTTCTAATTCAGGATGAACTTTTTCTTTGACTTTTGTTATTGTCATTAAAATAAAGACATTTAAACTAAACTATAGGCAGGGTGTGGTAACGATATTGTAATGTTCATCACTCTAGTATTCCCAATATTTTTAGCATAGGTACTGAAAAATGTTTTGCCTATACTATCTAACAGTCCCATCAGGGGCATGTAGCTACTTAAATTTGCATTTAAATTAATTAAAATTAAATGAAATTAAAAATTCAATTGTTCACCTGTATTAATTATATTTCAAGTTTTCTGCATCCGGAGAACACAGATAGGGACAATTTATATCACTGTGAAATGTCCACTACTTGTGATCTAATCTTACATGTTCCAAAGTTGAGAGTAATGTTTCTATGTACTAAATTTTCACTGTAAAGTGGGAGAGAACCGTTTGCTTCTACTTAATTCTTAGAAAGAAATTAAACTTTTCTAACTTATTTATTTGCTGCCTTAGAGGGCAACAAGGCCACTCTTACTCCATACACAAAACATACAGATCACAAGGCACTGTCATACAATGGATGCTGACATGGCACCTTCACTGGTTAAACAAACCACTTTGCTTTTAAAAAGTGTTTTAACAAACTATCTCTTATTTGTGAACAGTTAAATGTGTTATATGGGTTACATTACCTAATTTTAGCCACTAATGTTCACAGAGTAGAAAAGTTTCAGTACTTTAAAAGATTCTACTAAAAAAATATTGAAGATATGCTAACAATGCAATAAACAAGGTAGGAATAGGATCATTTGCTAATCTACAACTGGCAGACCATGAGCATAAAAAGTTGAAGAATAAGGATCAAAAAGTCCTGATATTTCCCAGCAAGCAGTTAGTTTCTTTGTTTAATCCAATTCCTGGCCTCTCCATTCCTTTTACTAAATTCAGTAGTGGCACCTCCAAAAGATAGGTCTACCTGGAACCTGAAAATGTGACCTCATTTCAGAAAAGGGTCTTTCAGATATAATTAAAGATCTAGAGATCCCAGAATATCCTGGATTAGGGTGGGTCCTAAATTTAATGATAAATACTCTTAGAAGAGAAGGGGGACACAAACAAAGGGATAAATACCACATGAAATGGTGACAAAAATTGAAGTTACATATCTACAAGCTAAAAATGGACACTGAGTGCGCTATAGCAACCAAACTCTAGGGGACAAGCACACAGCAGATTCTTCTCAGGGTCTCCTGAAGGAACTAACTCTGCTGACACCTGGATTTTAGACATCAAGCCCATAAAAATGTGAGAAAATAGATTTCCCTTGTTTGAAGCCACTCTATTTGTAATAATTTATTATAACTAAGATATCCAGTATGGGATGACTTGTCTAGAAAAAATAAACTATATATACTGGTCTCAACCTCTTCCTTCTTCCAACTGGAATCTAGCCAGGAACCCTGGGGAAGGAGGCACTAACTCAACCACCTCCTTTGATTAGCAAATGCCACAAACGAGTGGACAAGTCTGTCTGTTTTCCAGTTCAGTGAATGGGTCCCACTTAGCCATGTCTTCCAAATAAATTTCTATCAGTAATAAAGTTGGTACTCTGGCCCACTACTGCCACTCTTAAACTTCCTAACTGGTTCAAGCAGAGGAGAAAAGGAGGTAGTATTTATTAGATAGTCCCAGTCCCAAGAAACTCCCAAATTGTACATAATCTGATAGTCACTTCTCAATCTGAATTATCAAGTCTTAATGTTAGTGGTTCCACAATTCAGAAATATTCTATAAGTAAACTCATCAGATACAGTAACATTTTCATTATTCTATTTCTAATATACAGTTTATTATGCACAGTAGCCAAAAAACATAAGGAGTATTAGATCTAAATATAATATAAATAGGGCCAGGGATTTAGCTCAGTGGTGCCAACGCCTGCCTTGCAAGCACAAGGTCCTGAGTTCGATCCCCAGTACCAAAAAAAAAAAAATATATA